ATCCCACAAGGCTTTCATGTCGAGCAGGTATGTCACTGGGTCCTTCAAATTAAGGACCAGGTTCGCCTTGTCATTGGAGACCGTGACTTCCCCAGACACATGGAATGCCATGAAGCCGGTTTTTGGATGCAAAAATGCCTTTGAGATTAACCGGCTGCTCCAGAAACGGTGAAGACTTCAATACTTAGAGAATTCCAGAAATTTTTAAAATATTTTAAAATTTTCTCAGAAGTAAGAAGTAAGATTGCACAGAACTCTCCTAGAGAATCTTACTTCTTGCTTCTTACTTCTGAGAAAACTTTAACATATTTTAAAATTTTCTCTAAGTACTGGAAAGTTTACGTCCGCCATTTCCGACTAGTGCTGAAATCTTAGGATTTTAGGATTATATATATATATGGTACCCCCACAATCCCTGCAAATACCAGCAAAATTTTAAAAAATATGGACATTTTGGGGGGGGGGTACCATATATACATATATATATGGCTATCTATAGGGGCTTGATCTCCTTGATCTACTCCTACAACTGGCTACACTCTTTGGGTCCGAAGCCACGGTGGAAATCCACCGGACGGACGGTCGGATAGGACCCGGTGGCGGCCTCACCAAGATCCGTCGGACCGAGGCGTTGTGCACCAGGACCTGACGAAGCGGCGTCGGCGGAGGGGTCCGAAGGGGTCGAACGGGAGGAAGACAGACCGAGGTTTCCGGCATCCCAGGTCCCAGGCAGGCAGTTCCCACGAGTTGTTCAAGGAACCGAAGGAACCTCTCGTTCCGTTTGGTTTGAACTGGTTTGAGTCGAACTGGGAACCGCTGGGACTCCCAGCGACATCGTTTGGCTGGATGCCCTGGACTAGTGTTGAGAGACGGAGAAAAGAACCAAAAACACATCCCCCGTATACTACTCCCAGTAGTCTGCCGTTTTGCATACTCATAGTAAAGTGCTTTACAAAAGGTTCTGCACTTTATAGAGGGACAAGGGAGGGTGATAAACTCTGAGTCTGTTCGACCTGCATTGTATAGTTTTCCTACCCCCCGCTGGAAGAAGGAACATAGACACACACAAAAATGGATCGGGGGGTCCCCTATTCAAATACACGTCCATGAACTCCCGAAAACCACCAAGAGTTTCCAGGAGATCGATCCAATTGGAGCTTGGTGATGAAGTAGGTCTTCCATAACAGGCCCTCGGCCCCTTTCTCTGCAGGATTCCTGTGTAGGGGCATGTGCTTAGGTCACCCTGCTCAGGGTTTAACCTCATTGTCGTTTTGAAACCCTACGAACCAAAGGGATGTTCAGGGTCTGAACCTAGAGAAAGTCTCGTTCAGACTCTCCTGGATTGCTGTTGAAGTGATGCATAGGTGAACACCAAAACTACCAGTCACATAGCTGCTATAGGCCCTCGTATCCTGAGCAGGCCATGAACCAGCTATCAGCCATCAACATCCATCAACTATAATATAATTACTGTACACGATATTAAACGGATATGGTGCATAGTGGTGAACCTTTACTTGTCCTTGATGGACTACTGGTAAGTTGGACTTCACCCATGGACGATGGTCAAAAATAGCTTTGTGGCCTCTATATCCAATCAGTCATGCAAGCTTTTGTCGATCCGTTTTGATCTCTGGGGCAGGCGCCCACAGGTACAGATTCATGATAATTGAATCAATGGTGTCCTTACAGGAACAGTTCAAAGGTTCACTTCGTCTGTGGGCTCAAAAGCTAGATGACAATTCGTGGATTTCTCGACATGCGTGTATTGTCAACAGGACAAAGCACTCCATTATGCATGTTTCCGTATGGAAAGTCTGCCATGTCCTGCAAATCCGTAGAAACAATAACTTGTAATTTGAATATAGGTAATGCATGGTAATGCCATGGACCATGCCATTCAAAATACGCCCAACAGAACAGAACCGTCCAACACACACTCCACCAGAAACCCGCTCCGCTTGGCCGCATCCAAGAATGCATAAGGACTGAGTCTCCAGGCGCAGTCGCGCTTGGCCTCTGAAGGCATCTGCTTCCACTTGGCCAAGGCCGCCTTAGCCTGGAGGCGAGCACCCGGCGAGCACCCGTCGTCGACCCGAAAAGAGCCGCGTCTGGGTCTTTCGGAAAACGTTCCCGGAGGAATGGGAGGCTCTTGGAATAAGCGCTTGAGCAGTTGAGGGTTGAGAAGTCTGAAGGACAAAATGGAGATGCAAGTCCTCCCCACGAAATGCCATGCGTTCGAGAATAGACCGTACTTGACCAAGATTTCTATATATATACCCATCCAATCCCATCCAAGTGGTTTTCTTACATGTTTTCGATGTGTCTTCCTGTTTGAAGCGTTGCTTCGTCCATGTTGGACGAAACCCACCGGACGAATTGGAACCCCGGACCAGTGCCATGGGCCCAGTGCCGAGGTCTTTCCGGGGGGGAGGGGCAAATCGGATGGGCCCAAGTGCTTTTCCTTCACCTCTCCTACACCTTTTAAAGGATTTCTTGGATGGTGAACCAATGGTGTGGTGATGTTGGGGGGGGGGCAGGATGGGGTGTGACCAGGTGGGGTGTGTCTAGAAGGGCACCCGCGGGTGGTGGATTCACGAAGCCCCTTTTGCCTCAAGCATTGACTTGACTCTCTTGTGGAGAGGCAGCTGCGAGGATCACAGCCGATTACGATCTACTGAAACACGCCATGGTATCCGCGCAGGCCGGGTGGTTAACGATTAATAATTTCTACCATATAAACCATTGCTCTTGATGTCCATGGTCCATACATACCCTATATGGATCCACATACCCTTTGAGCAGGTGATTGGAGACACTTTTCTATTTGGAATAAACAATGATAAAAACCATGAAACAACCCCCCAGCACCTATCGCCCTATCGCCAGTGTATCACCCACCAGTGGTCAAGAGTATGTTCCAAACAGGATGTCTGACACACCCCCAAGGAAAGGCATTGACCAAAAGTGGTTAAACATCAAACACCTGGTAACCTTTCTGGATGCTCTTCGGTGCTTTCTGCCACCAGCATGTATTGACATAAAGCCAGTTACAAAAGGCACACCAGGAGTTCCAAAGGGGTGGCTGTCGGAGAGTAGGGAGAGTACGACCCAGTCTAAATCAACTCATCCCCCCCCTTCCCTCATCGGAACTCTTGGAATCTTTGATTAGTGCTCCTAGGGCTCCTGTCCACACCTCCTCAGGTTCGGTAGTTAGATCCCCCTGGCACCCACCTCAACCACCTTCAAAACGGAGGTCTGTAGGTGGGGACATTGGAGCCCGAAACGGGGAAAGAAAAAGACACCGGTACTTCACACCTTGTCCCTCACGAAGAAGGGATTGCGTTTTGAACCCAAACCCCTCCGGAAGGATCCTGAAACCACCAACCCATGCATATATATATATATATTATATATATACCCTAGCACATCCTGTCCGGGTGCCCTGTCTGGAGACCTGTTGACATAGGGTAGGGTAGTCCATTGGACACCCAAACACGATGATCCTGAACCCTGAAAAAGGTCACGATGAACCAACATCGGCGCGGCGCGGTCCGCGGGGTTTTCCGTCCCTTGGAGTCTCAGATGGAAAGTGAAAACACGCAGGTATTGGTTCGTGGATCTTTGATGATCTTCGGAGGGATGGAAAAACAGCTTCGCTGAATCCCCGAAACGAAGACGAACACTCGTCCGGGTCGGAGGTTGGATTGATAAAAATATGGAAAGTTTCAGGATTTGGGGGAAGCCAATTGGTTTAGAAAAGGAGCCTTCATTGATGAAGTGGAGAACCGCTCATCCATTGTACACCCGAAGTTCTTTTCTTGAGGCATCTTGAGGCCGCTGCCCCCGACAGGCAGACCAAAGGACTTCCAGTATCGAATGCATGAGTATTGCATCGACCCCGTGCTGCAAACTTGGGAAACAAACCAGTCTACCCGGCCAGCGGCGATTGGGGCTCTCCCGTATCAATATACACACCCAAATGAGTTCTCCCACTGAACCTGGTCCAACTGCTGAGACCTATTCTCGATTCTGTTGGGGAGTCGTGTTTCCTTCCAATTGTGTTTCGACTGAGAAGGTACCGGGAATAGCGCACCTGTATGTTCTACTTCTGTGAGATGAAGGTACCGGGGTGGAGGGATTGTGCACATCTGCGGCTGTTCTTCTCTCAACCTTCATGTCCAAACAAGTCCCTTGGGTTAAGCGACCGGTCGCCGCCGTCCACTTGCTTAGATCAGGTGACAGAATTTGACTGTAGTCAGTCTACTATAGCAGAGAATGCTTTGATCGAAAATCAGTGGGAGAGAAGACACCATGGAACCTGAAAATGGGAAATGAACCTTTGGAACACTCAATTTCCTCTACAACCCAGTGGTTGTTCAGGCTCGATCCATGTGAATCTTCCAGGGAGTGTTCTGCGAGTCGAACAAGTTCTGATGGAACTCCATTTCTAGAAGCCAACTGAATCCCAACTTGTCGGGAGTTCCGAAGCCGGGGTGGAACTATGCAGGATCGCCGCGCGAGCCGTTCAAGTGGGGTCGAACTATATAAGCATAGCATCCGTGTTTCTGCTGGTTTTAGCTTGTCCGGCGACCAGCTTGAACATCGGTAGGTTTTGAAGAGAATCGACTGGTTCACCGCAGGTCATGGGCATTCTCAAAAGCTTGGAGCTCGGCATCTCTCGGCTGGCTACATGGCCTTTCTCACTGGACTCCAAGGTGATCTATCAAAGAAACAACACTACACATGTGCAATCATCGACATATGGACCTGGCACGCAACCATCACACATCACCACGAGTGTCGAGGGAAGATAGGTGCCACTGAGGTTGCCATATCAGTGGTGGGCAAAACTTCTTCGTGCCCCCAGCGCCAAAAGCATTTTGGTTTGGCCCCTATGGGCTTCCAGTGTTTTGGAATGCAAGCAATGATCAGTGTTCAGTCAAGGAAGGGTATCGGTATCAGTATAGGGTTGGCCCCATATCGGCAATGACAGTGTTTGATAATATTGAAGGCAGTTCATGATTCATGACTAAAGTACGTGTACGAAACTTTTGCCGGATGTTCATATCATCAGGCAAGGACTATGGACAAAGGCCCTATACTAGAGGCCCAAGTGATTTTCTACTGTTCTTCTTCATTAGTTGTGTTTTTTGGTCACCATGATCAAAGTGGCACAGGACAAATCTGCAGTTGATGATGGGACAATATGGTCGACTATATTATGACGTCTTGAACATATGCTGGAGGTATCAGCATCAGTAATCATGGCCCATGGAGAAAACATGTGCTCCAAACAGATATAGCATGTGTTTCTACCACAAAGCAAGGAAAGGAGGAAACATGAAGAAGGAGGAGATCAACGACGTCAACAAGAAGTGGGAGCAGCGGCGGCGACCCACCCACGTTTCCCTGGAACATAAAGCTTAACTCTTTCCACTGCTCAACCACTCCAGCCATATCTTGAGATGGCATCACTACCGACACTCAGATTACAATGGAAAGAAAAACAAATTAGGCCCCAAAGCAGTCCAAATCAAAGTCCCAACTCTTTCAAGTACAGCCCGCGCCGTCCAGCAGTTCTTGTTTGGGTACAGTATAATCAAAATTCTTCATGTAGGTACGTCCGAATCCCCAGCGATACAACTCGAGTCACTCACCACAAAAGACTCTTGGTGTCAGTGCGGGTGGTTCTGATTCCACTCCGTTTACAACTGGGGGTGGCTCGTTTCACAAAATACACACATCTTCCCCAGGTTCCAGGTCAAAGCCTGGCCTTCAAAGACCATTAAAAGAATGGCCGACCTGGTGTTCTAGTCAGAAATCCTTCAGAAAAAAAATGGATTAAAATAGAACATATGGTCATTTGGGATGATTCAAACCTTCAAAGGAAGAAGGGTTCGATGCATGTTCTTGCACTCAGAACATGCCAACGAGTCCCGACCGTGACCAGGCACGGTTAAACTCCTTCGAATCGGATCTGGACCGAGGTGGGATCCAAACGTCGTCCGGCGCATCGACGTCCAGTGGACATGATGCGAATCCGTTCCAGTCAGTCTGAAGACCTCCAAAGTCCGACCAAGGAACAAACTCTGTTGTTAGAGAAGCAGAGCCAGGCGTGTTCTTATAGCAAAAGTGTATTGAGAGTGTTCAAAAGAGTTGCAAACAAAGCCCAGTTGCTTGAACTGCAGATTCGGACGTAACAAAGCCCAGTGGCTTCTGTTCAGAGTTTGACTCGCACCAGTACATGAATCTTGATGTTTTCATCCTACCTCTTCCCTTGTTGATGTACCTTCCTGTCAACCATGTCATTTGCCCAGAAAGTCCTCGGCACCTCGCTGCAGCCATTGTTGCCGTGCCGACTGCGTCACCGCTGCCGCGGCCTCAAAGGGGGCTCGCGTGTGGGGCCTTTCTTTCTCACCGCTTCGGCCCCTCTCCATCCCTAGGGCTCCAAGCACCTTCTAAGACGGTGTTGCCAGGAGGGTCCAAAGACCTCCTGGAATAGGTATTTGGAGCCCTAGTAGTACTAGGGAACAGGGTTTCAAGATGTTTTAAGGTCATTGAATCCCAACTCTTTTTGGGGGATTCATCTCGAATTCCGTTCAAGGCTCTGCCATTCCCTTGAGTGCAACTCGCGTGTGAACCACTTGTGTAACAGTGACATGTTACCTCACAGTTGCAAATTGCATGGATTGCCTCCAATGAGAAGTCCTCCATTGGATTGTCCCACACATTGCCTCCACTGCAGCTGACATCGCGGCATCTAGAAAAGTGGTGACCTTCTAGTCAAACCAGAAGGATTTGTCTGGTACAATATTCAACCGTTTTATAGTTGTATATATCTGATACTTGCTGTTTCCTCTGGCGATTGGTCGGGTGGACATGCCTCCTCAACACCAAGTAGGGGGACCCAAGGGACCCTCAACTGGAACTTTTATGCTAAGCAAAGTACACTGACAACCACTGAGGAGAGCATCATTGATGATTTTGTTTCCTCTTCTTTCCTGTGCGGCACAAGCCAATTCCTGGCCATATATATATATATAATTATATATAGGTCTCCAGATCACAGTCATAAGGTTGCTCTGGCTCAAGAAATCAATCCCAAAGCGTGACCTGGCCCAGGCCAATGGAGTTCTTATGATTTCCTTTTGTCTTGTCGTTCATTCACAAGTTCATTGTAGGCTTTTAGATATGGAACCCTAATGGAACACCAAATGGTTTTGAATGTTTTTGAGGCTTTGGGATGCTTTGGGGGGCTTTTGTTTTCGTGGAAACATCTTCGTCGTCCCCGTCACGCCCTGAACCCCGCCTCAGTGGCAGACCTCTTTTCGATAAACTGCCGGCAGCAATGCAGGATCTGCCAGCAAAGACACGGGAAGAAGCAGGAAGCCAGAAATACCCTGAGGATGTGTTTTCTTTGATTGAAATCATCTTGTGTGGTGTTGTGACCCTTACAAACCTAAAAATGTTGAAGAACCTGGCGTTCTCTATCTAGAAGTGTTGATCAGAGCCTGCAAAGCATGATGAAAAGGCCTGGAGGCTTGACCACCTTACGATGGACTCTGTTCACACCTTTCTAATCAATGCTTGGGATGGAGTGGCGACGAGTGGATTCCACTCAGTAGCTTTATGCAAACTTCTAAGGTGGTGTAGCATGACAGGGCAACCCAATGGGCCCCAAGCCGCAATCCGAGCTTGTGCCATCATCTATAGATGTTTTTTCCACTGCAGTGCAAACCAAACCAACCAAACCTCTGCTATCTACTCTGGACCACTTGTTTTCTACCTCGCCGTCACTATAGGAATAGGACAACTTTGTTCTAACTCAAGGTTGTGTAAGTTGCTATGGCAGCTTGGGAAGTATCGAGTTTGGGGAGGCCAGTGTGTTACAGAAAACTAGGGTGACAAACGCTGCGGTTTGAGTAAACCATAATAAAAACCCTTTTGACATTTTGAAGGAGATTGCCCGGGTTATCTACCACCAAGTGAGAATGATGCGCGAAGGTTCAGCCTTGACCCCTACTGAAACTATGCCAAGAACTAAGGGCAGCTTGCCGCTGAAACCGGAGCAGAAATCTGCTCTGAACAATCGAAAACAGAGTTCATGCCAACTCTCTGCGGGTGTAAATGACCAGTTGTTGTTTAACTCCAGCTACCTTAGTTTTGAAGTTATATAATTGGGTTGGTTTGCCGGGGGAGGTCAGTCCTGCTTCCTTCTCAGAAACCACATTATACAAAGCAGCTGACATGCTGTCCATCTATCCTTGGAACTCACAATTATGGAGTTATAGGGACATAGCCCAAGGGAGGGAACCATGTTCCTTTACGATCCTTTAGGAACAAAAAGGCTTCCCACTTCCATGTTGGTGAGCCAGGGTGCACAGCAAAATCATGCAAAATCACCCTATCCTCGCGAGTTCGACCGACACCAGGTAGGCCAAGGTATACTGGTGCCATGACCCACATCCAAATCAATGGTGGTGGAAAGCTTCTGCTTCAGTTTACGCAGCCATTCGCAGCCCAAGGGGCCAGGACATGTTTCAGATTTCACACGAAAAGCATCGAAAAGTTATATAGTTGTCGATCTGATCTGAGGATAGCCATCCGAACTCAAGTTTATCCCAAAGATTCTCAGGTAGAACTTGTGTGGGTGGTAAGGTGGTAAGCCTCTATGTGCCATACTTGCTTAGCCTACAAAATCCAAACTTACAAAGAAACATGTGCACTTCAGTTCCCATTGTGTTCCGAAACACCTTTGAGTGGGCAACCTTACCCTTCAGAACCCCAATCCCTTCAGAACACACATGAACAATCATGAACACACACGCACCTGCCCGTCCCCCGAAACCACCCGTCCCGGCTGTCATCGGAGGCCGGTGGTGTTTTGGCGCCTCGGCATCCGAGAGCACATCGAAGATGCCGTCGGAGCCCAGCACGATCACCACATCCTCCTGCCGCAGGACGGAGCCCAGTTGGTGGAAGGCGGTCCAAGCCGGTCGCGGTTGGGTTGAGAGAGGCACCGCCAAATGCAGGGAATGTCGTGGGAGCCTGCAGGGACCAAATAAATTGGAGGTTTTTGCATGTTATAGTGCATATCCCAATAAAACTATCATAAGCCCGTGGAGTAGGTACAGTAGGTGGAACGAAAAAGACCAAAGACAAAGAACATAGACAGTTTTCTTGTCCTTGTGCTGGTCATTGAAGAAATCCTGCAAGACATCCAGGGATATCAGGGACATTCCAGTACTTACAGTGCATTGTGGAAATGATTGATTCAAACCAAATTGATGTCGAGTCGTGAGTGTCCATCGCAAAAAGACACGACGTGGCCATCGCGCAGCTGACTGTTCAGTTTAAGCCTGTTTTAATGGCCCTCATCCCAATAAGACACATATTTGCATGTGTTCACCAACCCTCTCCTATGTTTCATGCTCTCAGGGGGCCCACAAACAGGGAGTTGGTCCGAAGTTACAGCTCTTCGTGGATTGTCGTCGATTTAAAACGCTGCGGTCTTCCAGCTTGGAGGACCACCGCATGCACCATGTGAAAGGACAAGCTTGTAGCGTGCATGAAAGAATTTGGAATTGGCTACCTCACAAAACACAAATGGGTCTCTCCCAATCCACTCAGTCACTTCGGGTGAAATCTCTCCTGATAAGGTGAGTCCATTCACCTCCGTTCGCGTCCACGTCCCACGCCAACAGTGACCTGACCTCATTTCGCGTGGTGACGCGTCCGTCGCAGGCGTCCTCGTTGAGCTCCATCTCTAAGGTCGTGGCCTCTGGAGAGAGTCCACAGGCCTTGCCTCAGCCAGACTCCACACGACACGACACGAGAGCGTCCTCGACTCGGCGGAGGCGGCGGCGCTGGGCGACGAAAGGAGGCCGCGGTGTGCTGCAGTGGGGGGGAATTCTGGCCTTCGAGGTGTGGCTGATGATGGGCGTGGACGGTGTGGTTGAATGGACTTGGAGGGGGGATGGAGGAGGGCCACGGAATGGTCTCTAATGGAACAACTTCTGCTCGACTTGGGAACTCTGCAAAGTCTTTTTGTCTCTATGGTTCATGGTGGGTTTATCCGCAGTATTTGCCCACATCTTTTTGCCTCAACCCCACAAGAAAGCGGCTGGAAATTGAGGTCGGGGCATTGAACAGTTCTGACTCTGGTCAGACCATTATCGAGACAAATGATGATCTGGGACGGGACTCGGGATAATACTAGTAGGTACGGTATAGGACCCAGTGGGCAGGTGATTGGGGGTCAGTTGGTATTTTCTGTGGATGGGCAGTGCATTCAATCCGCGGCAGCCTAGACTAGACCACTGCTGCCAGGCTGAGCAGTGAACGGATAAGTTCTGGTGCACCTCTAGCCCACCGCGCGCAACTCTCTTCCGCAAACCGTTGTTTCCAGCCCCAGGAGCTCGATCTAGAGGATTGGTGAGTGGAAGAGCTATACAACTACTACCTCTACCAGTCTCTTACCAAGAACGCCAGACTTCAAGAAAATCACTTTACTCCGAGCTCTCTCGCCCCGGAGAGAACTGAGTCGGGATGGCGGCATACTCGCTACGGTCCAACTGGTCAGGCTCCAGGTGGGTCACGACCCATCCCCATTCTATCGACCAGTTGATTCAACAACAACGTTTCCGGCTTTGGCTCTACCTTCCGGAGCGTTTCGCACTTGGCCGAGAAACCCAAGGCGTCGCCCAGGCCACGGCTCATGGCCAGACCGGGTGCGTTGCCCTGCTGCCGATGCCATAGCCTGGCAGGATGCTGAACGTCTCGTGCCTAACGTGGGGATGTGAAGTGATGGACAAAGAGGTGCCGAAGAGGCACATACAGGGTCGACATTTGAGGTTTCTGTGGTGGATGTATGATCACATATGTAGTTTTGAATTGCATGGAGTTTTTGGGATGTTGTAGAGTTCAAAGCCTCTCAACGCCTTCGGTTTTCTTGGTTTTGTGGAGATTGGACATCGAACTCCCTGGCCTGCCTTGCATGGAACAGAAAGGATGATCAAACTGATGTTGTCATCCAAAGATCACCCACAAAAGCAGCTTGTTTGGCACATTAAACCATATTCTAGTTTGGTAATTATAGACTCTCGACACGTGCTTCTAGATTTGGATTTTATGAGGTTCAGTTGAACCCAAGACTGGACACAATAAGAAAGACGGTACGGGTACTTTGGTGCTGTATTGTGCAATATGACTGTTTCTGTGCTGCATTTTGGTGGCATATTATTTTTGCGTGATGTCTTTATTTAGAACTGAACCCGGCTTTGGGGCTTTTATATACGGTCACGGGCACGACAACAACCATCTGGAGTCTTCAAACAATATATTCTTTCGTCGCTGTGTGATGGCATGCCTTGTATGGGGCGCCAAGACAAACCCAAAGGAAGCTGGCCCTGAGAATGGAATCTTGGTACGAGAGGAAGAGCTTCCCAAAGGGTGCATTGGAGTTTTAGTTCGTTAAGGTATCCCAAAGTCCAATGTTGATTGCCAAAGCAGAGATGAACCATTAACCAATGATGCACATCTATCCACTGTCCCTTGCTCTTTGGGAAACAAGTCTTGGCAGGAGTTCATCCACTGCAAAGCCAGCTCCACCTGACGACCTGAAAGCCTCCGATTGTCACCCTCATGAGTTTGGGGAAGAAAATACACCGCTCCGATCCGGCCCTCTGCAGCGATCCGCTCCGCACTCCACCTGGGAGGCCCCATGTTGGCGGGATCCACTTGCGCTTGGGGAGGGGGCGGCATCTTCTGCCTCAGTGCCGGGGGCGGGTCCTGGAGGAGGTCTTCGGGATTACAGTCAACAGTGGGATCGAAGGCAAGGTGTTGGATAGACTGGATAGACATCACACCCTGCTCAAGGGCGAACAAATGGTATCTATATAGCCTCTAAGCCATTCTAATAGCAGTGTCTTGATGGCCTTGAAATGTGGGCGACCCGGGGTTGGTTAAAGCCAACCCACATCGAACCGGAGCATGTGTAACTGCTCGACCCTTTGGGAAACAGAACGTGGTTAACCTTCCAATTCGTCTCCAATGATGCAACCAGAGGTGATTGCACACAACACACATGTCAATGGTTGCCTGACTTTCTAGCAGCGGTCCCGGTAGGCAATCGTTCGACTTGATGATAGGAACCCTCCTCATGTCAAGATGGAAATCACCTGACACCGAACATTTGGTTGTAACTTACTAAGGAATCCCAACCAAAGGAGCAAAGGATACTGTTCCCCAAATTGCTCTGGTCCACTCTCACTTACTCACCTTAAGGCCTTGCGAACGAAGTCCTCAAGATCTCTCCCAGTCCCCTCTTTCCAGTTTCACCACCTTCCGACTCCGGCACGCTTCTGATTTTAGCTTCCAAATTGTTCTTCAGCAACTCTTGAATGCTGTGCGGCACTAGCATCAAAAGCGAATGCCAAACATCCAAGCAATGCGGTGCCAGGTTGTTCGTTCACTTGCCCTACAAGTCTCGAATTGCCAACGCTGGTATGACCCGGCTCATGATCCCAAAGGCCCATCTTGCCGCGTAGGACGCCACATTTTTCTGTCAGGTTTCAAACCAAGGACCTTCTACGGCACCGCACAAATTTGTCGACCAAAGTCGGCAGCACACGAATTCGCACACCTTGAAGATCAGGGACGAGCTATTATACTCGAGAAAGCCATCTTCAGCAGCCTGTGGATCTTCAAAAAGTGGACACTTGCGATGTGCCTGACCATCTCTGTCCGACCCCCGAAGTGGATGCAACTCTGTGTCCAAGCCTTTGAAAAGGAGGGACTACGGCCGGCTCGAGGCCTGAGGAGCACCACACTCGGCATGCACTCACGAGCGGTGCACGCCCTGACTGGTTGCAAAGAAAACCCGAACTCAGCTGCTGTCTGCTCCTGTCTGCTCTAAGATATTACAGTTCCTTGACAAAGCATGTTAACTCTCACAGGCCTCTTTACTCCACCATTTGTTAAAATTATGAGACCGCCAAATGATATTGGTCACATGCAGTCGCAACAAACTCTCCACCGACGTACACAGTGACTCTCCAGGTCACTGCTGTCTCTTCGTCCACCGATCTCGGTCCGCTCAGCAGCCGATCTCGTTCCCGGTGAACGCGCCACTCCGTTTAGTGTCCTCGGTCTGCTGAGACCGCTTCAGCCACCTGCCCTGAACCAAATACTTCCTCCCAAGATGCTTGGACCTCCATAGGCGCCCACTCCCAAACACCTTTTGAATTGGAGGTAGCTGAAGGGTTGGGGATACCATGGGATACCGTTCCACCCCTCGACCAGCATCTTCTTCACTTCGGTACAGGAACTTCGTGAAAGACTGCTAGAAAACCAGTTCGGTAAATTCGACGTTCAGTCGACACACCTTAGTTGCACTTGTTGGGACTCAGTGCCATCCATTTCGGGCCAAAGGTAACATGCCCGACAGAATGAATCACACACACACACTGCGGACACCGTGCTGCGTTGAAAAGGTCAATCCAACTGGCCAATATCAGGTCAATAGCGCTTCAAACACTCCATGTATGGAACAATTCCATGAATTGAGGTGATTGAAGAGGGGGGCCAATCTAGCTGTATATGTTCAAGTCCCATGGAGCCGGGGACACTTCAACCCCTCAAAGAAAAACAATTAAAAAGCCTAAGAAGCTCCAGTTACTAGTTGGCTTGGGATTCAACCTATCCAGCTTCATGAATTTTAGCACCCATAGCCAGCCCCTCCATTCACCTGAGTCGCCCATTCACTTCCTCATCATCTCTTGGATGGACTCCGTCGTCATTGTGAAGGCTTGACCCGCCTTGAAGCGACATCACGCGTCGTCTCCGCAGCCCCCTCGATCCACGAACAGGAACCCCGTCCATGTCCAGGCGGTTGAACGGCCCAGCAACCCCCGTGCTGATCCGTGCTGACCCATGAAACAGGATTGGATTACCAGTTATAATGGTGTGTGTGGGATGGAGTATGTGTGCTTGGAAAAGGTCACAGTCATGCCAAGTCTATGGTGACTTGCTGTTTGGAGTCCACAAAGTGGTTCAACAGCTATGGCCCCAACAGAACATGTGGCCTTGGTGGCCAAGCCCCACTTGTTCACCACACGACTAGAAAGTGTGTCTCACTTAGACTCGTGAGGGAAAAATGATGGTTTATTTGCCTGACTCATTCGGAAACCCATGAATTGCCTGACGTCAAAACAAGGGAATCCTCCTACTTGCCACATAAGAGATCAAGAACTGTAGTCGTCGCAGATACAAAGTTCCCATCGGCTGATGTGCTCTCCCAGGTCCCATCCCATGTCCTGACTAGAAAAATCAGTGCAGAGATTTGGAAGATACTGTAAGAGTCTCTCAATCAGCTATCTTAGCGGGAAAAACAAATCGAGGAGCCCTCCAATGCACGGTCTCTCGGTGGTTACATCCAAAAGTGCCGGCTGCCAATGTCTGGGAATACCCAAACTGGTGGGATTGGCATTGTTTTTCCATGCGGGGGCCAACGGGCTAACATGCAGGTATATCATCCATACATCTGGCCAGGCGGCCAGTCCCATACAAAGTGTGTGGCCGTGAGGCACTCAGTGACGACTTGACAACTCAACACGGCTCAATCGCCCAATGTATCAAAGAGGCAAAGCATGGTTTGGGCTGAGCCTCCTTGAGGCGAAGGGATACAGGGACACCTCACGAGGTCTCTGGTAGGAGCCTTAAGAATGGTAAGTATCGATCCAAACCGTGTGGAACCTCCGGTTCCCCTGCATTCCCTCCTTCAGCTCATTTCACGTCCAAGCGAACAACACAGAATGGTGTGTTGGCAGGATGTGTACTTGCCAGTCACTTTGGACTTCATTAGTTCATTGGCCTGATTGTGCATTGGCTGAGAAGGATGTGACGGTGAAGAACACTGAAGTTCAAACACAAAACCCCATCAGATTCGATGACAATGGACATTGTCATCACATATATATAGATAATTACAATAAAAAGTCATTTACTTCTGGACAAGAGTCAGCATACAACATTGTACGACTATGACTGTAAACAATATTCCACAGACATAGAGGGATCATGAGGGATCCAAGAGAATCCGAGAGAAAGATACAAAGCGCGCAACAGGCTACTGTACACAAAATGATTCTGCCCTGGACTTACGCTGCCCTCAAACAGCGCGCAACGAGCTTTTAAAGTTTACGGCGGCAAAAGTTGTGCTCAAGCAGGTGCTCTCATCTCGTCCATCTGGATTTCCTGCAGGCGCCAGCTTGCGCAGTTAAGCTCCGCAAACTCAGGCCATGCTAGAGCGGATTGTTCCCTGTCACATTTATGTCCCGCCACTCCTCCCCGGGGAGCGTGTCCACCATCACCTCTTCTTTCTCTGCAAGGCGGAACTCGTAGCCACCTGTCTGTCTGCGCTTGCCTCGAACACACCTCTGAACCGCTGGCTGGTGCAAACCCAAGTCCCGGGCAGCAGTTGCCATGGAAGCATGGGTCCTCCACTCCTCACTGCTCCCATGAGCTCGGCTTAGAATTGGGACCGACAGCGGGTGTGGGGCCTTCATGCTGTTGTAGCGGTGTGCCACGTTCTCACTATGGGTAACATACTCCAGGTTATGCACGGCGTTGTTGCCCCGGTCAAGGTCCTTGTGGTTCACCTCGTGCTCTGGACTTGGAGGTGGCCCCAGGAATGCGCGCGCCACCAAACGGTGAACAAGGATGGTGCCGCCATGAAACAAATTAAAATAGCAGTATCCATCCTTCTTTCGGTGTCCCGTCGAGATTCGTCCATCTTTCTTCTTGATGCGACCCAGGGAACTCACAAATCTGCCTGGCACAGATTTTCCTGATCTGGGGTCTATCATTGGTTTCCATTTCTCCCCTTCCAGCATCTGATTCTCAGGCTCCATATACTTGAACTCCAAGCACCCAAGCTGAGCCTCCCGTCGAAAGAGGGCACTCACTGTCCAGTAATTAATGCCAAGCTTTTCTGATGCCTCCTTGGCAGAAGAAAAACGTCTGCACTGCTGAGAGGTTAAATGTCTAACAATCACCGGTTTTGAATTAGAAGGTCCGGCAGTGCCCCTTGAGGGATTGTCATAGGAGATGCGCACATTTTGAGAAGGTGTGACCCACTCCAAGTTGTCTTTATGATTATTGCTGCAGTTCCCATCCTTATGGTTCACCTGTGCTGTATTGCTTGGTGGAGGTCCATGGAATTCAACTGCAACGAGGCGGTGGGCTCGGAAGAACTTCCCACGAATGCCAACCTTGCGATAGCCACTCTTTAGCAAAGTCCCATAGCTCTTCCTGCCTCGAGCATTGCTGAACCTACCATGCGAACTCACTTGCCAAACCTTTCTAGTGGGTGAAAGCTTGTCAATCGGTTCCAAGCCGGAGATCACCTGCAAGCGCACGCTAAGATGACAAGTCAAGAGCCAGGCGAACACTGCGATCCTCCACCTCCGGCCAGTACTTCCACACCACCGCGCCATGGGAGAATGGACTCGTGTGTGACCGGTGCAAATGAATGAGAAGAACACGGAAATTCCTTGGGCATATCATGGCATATCCCATTATCAGCAAGAGTAGATTATGATGCTTAGTGAAGGACTTTCTCTAAAACATCCAGACCGTTACAGGTAATAGGGCAGACCCAAGAAATACAATTTATATAAGAAGAACTGCTTTGCTGATGCAATGCATGCCACCAGGATGACGAAGCAAGTCACCTGTGAATGATCTCTGTAAATTTCGGTCATATTGGCT